GTAACTGTTTGGTGGTCTCAGCATGGTGTTATTCACTATAGTTTTCTCCGATCTGGTCAAGCAATAACGGCAGATGTCTATTGTGCCGAACTCCGAACCATGTTGACAAAACTAGCAGTAAAACAGCCCCGACTCATGAATCGATCTTCACCATTATTGCTCCACGACAACGCGAGACCTCACACAGCACGAGAAACCATTTTGACCCTTCAGGAACTGCAGTTAGAAACCATTCGTCATCCTCCGTATTCACCAGACCTTGCTCCAACGGACTACCATTTTTTTCGTGATTTGGACAATTATCTACGTGACAAGAAGTTTTCTTCCCAGGAGGCAGTACAAAATGCTTTCACACAGTTTGTGCAGTCTAGATCGTCGGAGTTCTATCGCAAAGGCATTAATAACCTTCCCATTAGATGGCAGCAATGTATAGATAATAATGGCAACTATTTTGATTAAATAAATTTGTTAAAAATTTAAAAAATAAACAATTTAGATTTTCAGTACAAATCGGCAATTTCATACTTTAACCCCTATTATTTTAGTTGTACCTACAGGTTGTAAACAGGAAAAAATAACGTATTAACCTTTTTTCGTGCTATGTTATTAAAGAAAAATATATGTGAAAGAAAAACATAATAATGATGTAATAAATGTGCCAGATAATCACACTAATTGCCGGAATTCCTTGTACTATTAGTACCAGAACAATAAAATTAATCCGGGGTATCCAGAACACCCAGATTGGAACCAAATTAGAAAGTTCGTTTCGGGAGCTTCTCATTTAACTTCCATAGTGTTAATCTCTGAGCCACCAAGACAATTCTGTATTTGGGGCACTTTTGTTCAAACAATTTAAAATGCACCAATAAACATGTCTACTTGGTGTTATTTTTTAATCACCGAGTGAACTCTTCTATAATGAATAGAGCGTGTGACGACCCGCGCTATGCGACGGAAAAGCACTTCGGGATCATGCGAATGTGTGCGTCGACAGGGCGAGAGCGGCGCGATATGACAAGATGGAGCGATATTATGATAGGGGAACCAAACTATTGGAACTGTTAGTGCCCGGAGAGTATGTTCGCATACGAAATGGTACAGTGTGGATAACAGCTATTGTCGTAAGCGTGTTATGTGACCTGACGTGCAAATGAAAAATGAACAACGGTACTACAGTTAGGGCGCGTTCCCAATATGTCGTAACGTTTTATTTATCGTTGAACGACTGTCGTGTCTAGCTGTTCCCACTAGATCGTGACGACAATTTATCGTTGCACGACAGAGTCGTTTGACGCACGGCAGTCGCTTCTACGAGTATGTTCTTTTGGAAGCCAGTAGTGTGTGTTCGCTCCCGTGTAAAATCAATGAAGGTGAAATTTTAATAATGTATTACTTTTTAAAAAGGCGGACGAGGAAGCAAACGAAGAATAGAAAGTTTTGGGCACATCCAATATTATTAAAAAGAATTTCATTAGGATTAAAATGTCAAACTTTTATAGATGAACTGAAAAGTGATGAGAGAAAATTTTCGGACTATTCAAGAATATATTATTTTGTAACAATATTTATAATTCAATTTTATAGTTGTTGCCCTCGATTTCGGGCTTTAATGGGTTTTAACCCGATTTAAACCCCGCATTAACAAAGTGCCGGGTGCCTATCTCTGGCTACGACCAAACGCTAGTGCAAAGCGAGCCGAGGTCGCGGGGTACGAGAGGGGAGAGTAGGGAGCAGAACACGTGCACACAACGATAAATAAAACGTGACAACAATGGTAACTGCGACTATCTGTTGTGACGTTTTTATAGTCGGACAACTGTCGTTCTAACTCTTCCTATTGTCACGACATAATGGGTACGCGCCCTTAAACGTAATCGTTCCCTAAATACTACATACGACGTGCGGCGGGCGTGCACACATACAAGCCGCGCAGCCACGTTTGTATAGAGTTACCCTACTTGTTCTTATTCTACTATGGTAATACGCACTAGTGAAAAGTAATTCGCCAAATGTAGCGTATAAAAAAAGGTCAGACTATTTCTGCTGGTAATCTGTAGAAAAATGTAGTAAGATATAAATAGTAAATAACCACAAACTGTTTTCCTGCATCTGTAATGACAATATAGGGCAACCGCTCTGCCAACTGAGTTACAGATCGAGGCTACAGATTTTACGAATTTCTCTATGCATTTGTTACAAACTTTTGTTTTTCGGTTTTAATGGCGATTTGCCGCAGCGGTGAGAAATGTATGGAAGTTTTTCTTCACTCAATCAAACCTTAACAGGTGCCAAAAGTAGACAAGAGATGTCGCTATTTGAATTTTATTATTGATTAGATTTTTGTTTGCGGTTTTGGTAATGTTTCCCAGTAAATACGTGAAGTTATTAATGTTTACCTTCAACGGCGCTGGGTAAAGTCCTTTAGAAGCCTTCATGACCTGTTCTTTAGCTTTGTTGAATATAATATTCTTCACCCAGTCCCATTTCATGGCTGTGGCAGTCACATTTGCCACTAGACCTTTCTTTTGCCTGTCCACTTTCATTTTACCAGCAGCTATGTCTTTAGCTACTTGTATTGCTACTGTTTCTAAGTATTTTGCTGTATTTTCTTTTGGACTAGCCAATCCTGAAAAATCCAATTACAATTTTGTGAGTGCTAGAATCTTAAAATGCCGTGTCACGACGAGGTAATGTCGAATCTCAATTAATCTGTTTTGAACACAATTTAGCTATTGCACATCACTTACTTTTAATGAAAAATATTGTAATTTGTATACATATAATTTACCTGGTCCAAGTGGAGACACCAGTAGGTCAATAATGCCTAGTTTCTTGGCTTTGTCAGCTTTAACCATCTTGCCAGTGAGGGCCAGGTCCAAAGTCGTGGGAATAGAAGTAAGTACTGGTAGCCTTAAAGAGAATAATATAAAAAATATTATGCATGTTACTAGGAGTGTATATAACACGAGTATAATATACCACAATATTACTAAATCTTTCAGTAATAACATTCATCACGCCTGTCTCCCACCGAGGTATGCAGAGATCATGGACTTCCACTTGCCTTAACTTAACTGCCTCCGTGGCCGAACGGTTACCATGCCGGACTGCCACGCAGAGGTCCCAGGTTCGATTCCCGGGCCGGGAGAAATATTTGTATGGCCTACATTTATTTCTCTCGTGAGTTTGGGTGTAATTTGTGGTTGTCTATGTGTGTGTCCATGGCACCCGCGACACAGGGTTTCCCTAGTGCGGGGCTATGTTGAGTGTGAGCGTTATTATTATTATTATTACTTGCTACGCTCCTCCTGACAAACCTCCTTCTCCTTTCCCATCAGTCTTTCTCCCAGTTGTCTACCTCTCCCCATGTCCCCAACTTCTTCTTCTTTCAACTTTCGTTCTCAATCTACCAACATTCTTTCTTTCTTCCTCCTCTCTGTTCTGGTAACTACATCATCTTTCATATCCCAACCCTCTCTTATTACACTGTTCGGCATTCTATCTTTAAGAGCGGTTACACACGGCGCTTTTAGCAGCGATGCAAACGCGATGCATACACGATGCAGTCGCTAATCGTTTACCTTTACACACGCGACCGCATCGATACAAACGCGCGATTGCATCAATGCAGAGTCGCCGTGTGTAACCACTCTAGACTAATATTATACTAATACTATAATGTTTCAATGGTTATATGTTTATGTGTTCTAGTTACGTTATTTGTATTTTTTAGTTGGTTAGTTTACTTATAGTTATCTTTAATTGTGGTGGTGGTGGTGGTCGTAGTTAATTGATGTTGGTTACTTTTACAGTCGTAATATAATAATAATAACGCACACTCAATATAGCCCCGCACTAGGGAAACCCTGTGTCGCGGGTGCCACGGACACACATAGACATGCACAAATTACACTCAAACTCACGAGAGAAATAAATGTCGGCCATACAAATATTAGCCCCGGCCCGGGAATCGAACTGGGACCTCTGCGTGGCAGTCCGGATGGTAACCGTTTGGCCACGGAGGCAATAAAGAACATATATAAATAACTATGGGGTAAATGTAGCTTTTTCGTAATAACTTTATTTGTAAGTGTATGTTTTGATATAAAGATTAATTTAAATGTACCTTTGAGTGCCTCCTCCGCCAGGCAGGAGCCCCAGCATGACTTCAGGTAGCCCAACACTTGTTTTTGCGTCTTTAACTGCAATCCGGTAATGATATGCCAGGACTGTTTCCAAACCTCCACCAAGGCATACTCCCTGAATAGCTGCTACATACGGTTTGCGAGAAGACTCTATTCTTCTGAAAATCTCGTGACCTGCAGAAATTAACATCATTGATGCAATATAGCAACATACCAACACAGTAGACCAAATTGAAGATAACAAAGAATTAATTTTAGATCGATATCTTCCATAAGACATGGATATATTAAACTAAACTAATGGATACTTATATATGGACTTGTGTATTTAAATCGAATTTTTGCTCGACGTATTTTGTGTTTTTTCAGTTTTTTGTTGAGACCACGTTGAGTTAAGGACCACGGACTGGTTCGAAACATATGTAACAAAAATTCGCCTTAAATACGTAAACAATTAATTAACTGACATTATAGTATATGGTATGGTATGGTATTATAGTATATATAGTATATTTTGTTTTGGTTTTCTCTCCCTTTCTCACTGACGTTTTGTGAAACTCTGTGATTTACTAAATTCTCCCTTGTGTTTGTTATGCTCTTTGTTATTTTTAAATGTGTGAAATATAATAGTTAATGGCATTTGAATATTCATCATTATTGTATAACTATACTAGTAAATAGATTGTCAATTTTCAAAAAATTAAATAAACTTTAACAAAGAAAAGTCTAAATTTGGAAAAGAACTTTAGCATTGTATATAAAATCTGAGCGGTCAACCACAGTTTTGTCGCAGTTATAATTTGAAATTTATTTTTAGTACAATTTGTAGTGGAGATCGTTGGGGGAGGCCAATGCCCAGCAGTGGGCGTCGTATGGCTGAATGATGATGATAATTTGTAGTTAACCAACTGAAATGGACCTCGTTTCGGGCCACCGGACTGATGATTGTAGCCAAATTAATAAGAGAAATAATACATTACTGATCAGATAGTTGCAGTTTTTTTTAAATCTCACTTAGTTGTTTCGCTTGTAACATAGTGAATTTCTATTCTATGCTTCTATGTGCTGGTAATATTGACTCCAATAATATAAATGCAAAAGATTTTTTTTTTTCAAGACAATGTTATAATTATTAATACAAAGATCGAACACTAAAAAGATTTCTTCGATCTGGCTGGATTCGAACCAGTACCTTCCAACAATCCGTGTTAGACGCTCTGCCAACTAAGCCACGAAACGAACCAGCACACCTTAAAAATTTTTCTATGTGCTTGTTGCAGATTTTCAGTTTTCATTTGTAACGAGTTTTTGACATAGCACCAACTGTGACAAATTTATTTCTTCACCGAGCCAGGTACCTTTACATCTACCAGCAGCTGACTAGAGAAGTCGCTTCTAATAATTGTAATTAAATCTATTGAATGTCACGATGTTTTAGTACTATGATATTCAATAATTATTTGTGAAAGACTCTGTTGGTTTGTTATAATTATTAATACAAAGATCAAACACTAACAAAAATTCCGTTGATTTGACTGGATTCGAACCAGCATCTAGCAGAGATTGCTGTATTAATAATTATAAGAAACTAGTGGAGGACTTTCACAAATATATAATTGAATATCATGGTAGTAAAACATTGTGACATTCTATTTATTATAGACCTACATTTTTTATACATAAAAAAGACAAATATCTTATTTTGATGTAACTCAAATGTTCTTTCTAGGCAAAACAAATATAAAATATGCACGAGCAAAGTAATACACCTCTAAAAAATTTACAACATAAAAAGACTTAATTTATATCCATAATTTTCATGTTGAGTTTCAGAGTTATTGAAGTTTTTACTGTTTTTATTTTTCAAGTTGGTGTTTTTATAATACATGTTTATTCGTGGGACTGTCAATATGTCTAGAGATAGGTTGATGAGTCCTTGCAGTGGAAGCTAGAAAAGTGTGTATTAAATATAATCTTTATATTACAGTTAAACAAATACTTATTGCATAATGCTTTTGGGCCAAAGGTAAATTATATTATTGATTAATGACTTCTGATTATAAGATAATAGGCTGCAAAATAAGACAAAAAGTATACTTAAACTTACCTGCCTTGGAAATATTGACAACTTCTTCCTTAGTTCTGCACTTTTCGAGCATGGGAATGTCAGCACCAGCAATGAAGCAGTCTGGTTTTCCAGATATGAGCACAGTCGCTTCAATGGCTGGATTACTTTCTACCTCTTGCAATATATTTTTAAATTCATTCATTACATCTTCATTCAAGGAGTTTACCTAAAACAGTGAATAGGTTGAATGGTAGTTGGAGGGACACAATGGTGAACTCTCATCACTGCCACACTACTTTTATTGTTTAGTAGCAGTAGAGAACTTTTGAAAGACTCCTTGTGAAAGAATATGTCCAGAGTGGTACTGTCACTTTACCTATTTCAACTGCCAAGCAGTAATGTCAGCATTACTGTGTTCCAGTTTTGAATTGGTTTGGGTAAGGGTGCTGGTTAAATTACAGGCACAAGGGACTTGTCAACTTATATCTCCCTGAGATTAACCTGTTAAACGGGCACAGTGGTAGTGCCCCTGTTATGGACAGGCGTGTAGCTTACCACCAGGTGCACGACTTGTTCGTCACTGTCATCAACTGTCACGTAATGTTATAAAAAAAGTATACTTCTAGTTTTTAATGTAATATTCTAAGAACAATAACTTACAATACTAGGCATTCTTAGGTAACATTTGAGGAGCATCAGAACAAAAACTAATTAAAGAATGGTAGTTTTTGCATTATTCAGCATTGTGATAAATTCATTCAACGAGACTACACAAAATTTATAGGATTTATCGGACTTGGTTCCCAATTTTAGGGATAGGTCCTAGCCAAGTAGGTGTGTACAGATTCTAAGATGGACTGCAAACACATAACTGTTGCCTTCTAAAGTAAAAGGACTGTCAGAAAAGAATAAATATGAATTTGAAATGTTAGCATAGTGTTTTGTTTTTATTCATAGGTATTAGTAAATTATTTCAGAGTTAATCTCAGAGAAATTCTAAATTGACACTTAAATCTGTTTTGGTGATAGCAGTTTCATAATTCGTTATGAATGCTGTTTATCTGGGTACAAAGTTTCTTTTAGGTTAAGGGTATAATTTATTTTTAGACATTTACAAATAATATCGAAGATTTTATCACTTACCTTGGCGTTAGGAGAGTCCAAAGTCACAACATAAACACCATTGACTATTTTGCATTTTGTATGTGCCTGGCTGGCGGCGGCCGCAAAATTCCTGCATTGCAAACCTGCGAAGCGTTATCATATCAGAGTGAGATTTACACTATTAAACAAATCCATTATAATAGTTTTTGGCTAAAAATGTGGACACATACGTTAGCTTCAAAGAAAAAGTTTGTTGGTAGATGAAAAATTAACTTCGAAAGTCGTCAAAGCGCTTAATGTGTATCTTTACTTACCTGCAACAAATTTAATGTCTGGTCGCGATTTTAAGAACCTAATAGCACTTAACATTTTTGAATTCGCCATTGCCGATAAATTTTTATTATATACAAATAAAATAACGCTATACAAATTAATTAAATAATATCGGAACCAGACTTTGAACTCTAAAGTTTCTTCGCGTGATACTTGGATCTCAAAAGGGGTGAAGCAGGAGAGCGAGGAGTAAAGACCAGAAATGTCATGCGCGCCTATGTTGCACGATATGTGCGATATATTTCTTGGTTATTTATTTGTTGAGCATTGGCTATAGAGCAATCAGCTCAAACTCAAAACGTAATAATAATTAAAGTAAAAAATTTCGAAATGGCGGGTTTTAGTAGTTACATTTTTTACGCGAATTAATTTTTAGTTTATGTATATTACGTTGTGCGTTTCTTGATTATTTGTTACCATTAAGCTGATCGCTCTGAAGCCAATGCTATATAAATAAATAAATAAATAAATAAATAAATAAGTAAATAAATAAATAAATAAAAAATAAATTAAACTAAAAGTTAATTTATGAAAAAACTGTAACTACTAAAACCCGCCATTTTTCAATCTTTTCTATATTTCTTGGCTCAAACGCCCACCACGTGATTTATAAAATAGTAATGAATTATATTGAAGAGAGACGTATGTTTGATAATAATATTAACACGTATAGTAATAATTTTGTGCACTTTCATGTGCTGGAGAGAGAAGCAGTAACACTGCGAAATTAAAGTTAATAATAATAACGCACACACTCAACATAGCCCCGCACTAGGGAAACCCTGTGTCGCGGGTGCCATGGACACATACATAGACAAACACAAATTACACCCAAACTCACGAGAGAAATAAATGTAGGCCATACAAATATTTCTCCCGGCCCGGGAATCGAACCTAGGACCTCTGCGTGGCAGTCCGGCATGGTAACCGTTCGGCCACGGAGGCAGTTAAAATTTAGTTAACCGTTTCATTCGGGGGAAATGATGATAATAAATCTAAAATGATAATAATAAATAAAATAGGTTGGCAACTCAGCTCATAGTGGTTTTGGTAGGTAAGGCAATCAATAATTGGACCTGTGAATTGGACGCAGTTAAACAAAAAGGATCCAATGCACATACACTCACTTTCACTTTTGAAGTTTAAAAGTGTTTCTCACTGTTGTTTTGTTTTCAAAACTTATAATGTCATGTAACTCCAGAGACATTTATTTACGTTTATAAGTTGGATTTTTTTCTTAATCTAAGAGGTTAGACTTTGAGGAACCGTTTGAACATATAACTTATTTTTTGATAATTTTGTGGATTGGATCTTTTTTGCTTAGCTATTAGTCTCAGATTTACGTGGCAATTTTACGGCCTTCTAAAATTATTCATATCTTTTCTACACTTTGTCTAAAACCCGTGAGGCCCGTGACTGCTTTAGGCAGTTTCTTGGGCAAACCGGTTATTTATATAAGTAAGGCTTATTTGATTTTTGTGACCTTATTTGCAAATTTGTGGCTATAAAATAACATTAAATTCTGCACCAATATATCAAGCCCACTACAAAATATAGTTTCATTACTTAAGTATGAGCACTTTGAGCTGACTGCCCCTATGTATATATCTGCACGTACGTATTCCGACAACTAAACCAATTTAAAGAGTTAATAATAATTTTGGTCTCCGCTTATGTTGTTTTTTGTGTTCAATAAAAATAAAAAGCCGAATCACTATAGACAGCAACGCCTGATTTGGTAATGAGAGCAATTATGCAGCTCGGATGAAAATAGTACAACAATTAACTACATGACATAATAGGCATCCAGATAAATTTGTCTGTTGTAATCTTGGATTTAGTATATTATACATTGACTTTTGTAAGTCAATGATATTATACTAAATCTATGGTTGTAAGAGTTCGGTGTCATTTGACTAGCATGTTTGTTTTCCATAATCTCACAGTCCTCATCCTAGCTTCCTTGATATATTTTTATTTTTTAATTAAACATATAAGTGCGCATTTGACCTCCATTTCACCTCGTGGAAAATGACGATAGATTCAGATTCAGATTCAGATTCATTTATTTCTCAAATACAACATTACAGTATAAATTGCACTACATGTCAAAGTATAAGAAATTATATTGAGATCGTCAAAAAGGAAAATTATAAGAAAAGCACACAATAATTAGAAAATTAACAATTCATTATATAATATTGTTGCCATTAAATTATATATCAAATATCATTCTCCATCAATGATAAGATATCATCATCAAGGATAAGTTTGATGATGGCGCATGCACACCTAAATAATGTATAGGTATTTACTCTCGCCTTGAAAAGGCCCAAGTAATTACGTTCAGGGAATAAGTCTGTAGGCGGGGAATTCCACTCCATAGCTGTTCGCCATATGACTGTGGAAGGAATCTTTCGATTATCCACAGCCCAAGGTTACTTCTTGTCCCTCGGTGATGGAAAGGGGAAGAGGGAATTAAATCATGTAATTTCATTGCACAATCTCCGTGATACATCCTGTAGAATACCGACAAGCAGGCAACTTTACGGCGGTGTTCAATAAGGCTCTGCAACTTCGTCTCTACCAATTCCGAGTCACCTATAAATAAGCTTTTGGTTTGTAGCAGAGCCATTCCATAGGTGGCAGCAGTGCGTAGGTACTCCATACACAACCGGACTTGTGCTTGGTACAGTTGAAGCAACTGTCCCGGTGTGAAGTAATAACTGACTTTGGAAAGAATGCCAAGCTACCTGGCTGCAGTTTTGTCCATGCATTCTATGTATCTGCCAAAGTTCATTATTGGACGACAGGGCAATTCCAGCAGTAGCTGGAGACAGTCGGCTATCGGTATGGATATGTCACGAAAAGTCGGTGTCAGGTCAAAGGGACTCTGTTTTGTGGAGAACAGACACGCGTTTTGGTAGCGTTCAATTTGATAAGATTGGCATCGCTCCAATCGGAGACCGCCTTAAGTGTCAAACACAAACGACTAACGATGAACTCTCGACAAGACTGGATTTCCTCTTTACTGACCCTTGAATTGGTCAAGTAACTATTTAGTGTACTGTCGTCAGTGTACGCAAAGGTACCTGGAATTAACATATTATTGATATGCAGCAGAAAGAAGGTTGCAGACAAGACGGAACCTTGAGGCACTATCGCCAGATGTTCGGAAGAGTAGCCTTCTAAGACCACTCGAATTGAACGTTCCCTCAAGAAATCCGAGATCCTATTGCAAAGGCCAGTGGGAAGCCCATACGAGGAAAGCTTGCTTAAAAGATTTGCGTGCCAAACCCTGTCAAAGGCTTTAGAAATGTCCAAAGACACTGCAAGTATTTCGCCTTGTTTCGCTATAGCTTCCAGAAGATACCCTTCGCCCTCGCCGGAATCCTGTTCTTCCGAGTCTTCAAGGTACGACAGGAGACGGTTGCTGAGCACACGTTCCATAGTCTCGCAGAGTATGGAAGTGAATGAGATAGGTCTATAGTTGACAGGGTCAGCCCTGCTTTCTTTTTTAGGCACAGGTTGCATGTTTGCAAGCTTCCACGACCTGGGAACTACACTAGTCTCAAGTGAGAGGTGATACAGGCTTGTGAGAACAGGAGACAACTCAGGCACACAGTTACGTTGGACTATTACTGGAATTCCATCTGGCTTGGTAGCTTTATTCACGTTAAGATTCCGCAGAGTTCTAAGTACCTCTTTTTGGCGTATGCGAACTGTCGTCATAGTGTAACCAGCCTGAGGTGAGGTAGGTGGTAGGTTCCCTGTGGCATTTAGACGCGAACTCTCTGCGAAGAGTGAGGCAAAAAGGTTCGCTTTCGTTTTTGTTTTTTATTTTTGTTTTATAATTTGAATTCTTATCTTTACATTTGAGTACCCGTAGGTTTATTATATTCTATATCCTGCAGGAAGGTCCTCCTTACCTCCCGTTACGTGTTTCTTTATCATATAATATATGCTAAAGACAGAAATAAATATGTATGATAAGACCCACTTGTTGCCACCGTTATGTATCACGCCTCCCTCCTTTCGTAACTGTAGTTACGGAGCGAACACTACCCAACCCCTAACTCCCCTTGATTCTACTCATATTTCAATTTGTTAGAAACTTGCGATGAAATCGAAATTCATTGCTGGCTTACAGAGGTTTATTCAGTCTACGTAAGACGTTTACAGAGCGATGTATAATATTAAGCTTTGTCATTTGAGAATATTGTTCACAGGGATTGCTCCCTCTGACCTCGTGACGGCTCTTGTGATGTCGAGAGCAGAGAGTGCGTCCGTGTCGGATAATTACACATCTAAAGCTTTTGATGGAGAGGCTTTATGGACAGTCGTACGCAAAAGCCTTGCCTCATTTCCGTGTGTTTAGATGACTTCCGTTTGAAGCTAAGTTTATGAAATTGCCTTAAATTTTCCATCCATCTAAAAATAAATGCCTACACTAGTAGATTTGCAATTCATGGACAATAGAGTTGTCATTTCTTATGCCTCTCCATGACACTCAGCAATGGCTATAAATTGGTTCAATTGTCCAAAGTCAAGTTTTGTCACGCAATTACTGAGAGCGTGAAGCGATTCGATATATAGCGTTTACGTCGAGTGTTTAATGGAACACTTTTCCACAGTCATCCAGTCGGATTTTCTCGAGTTGTCGAAGGAATTGATTCAATTCACAGTGACCCCCAGTGACTAGCGTGGGAGGCTCCCTCACCCTACCGTTCTACTTTCCTATAGTATCCTAGTACGACGATACTGTATGAATTGATTTAAGTTGGAAATATAGGGTGTTAAACTTTTCCTGTGACTCAGAACTTAATGACACAAAAGGGAATTCTAACAGACACATTCTAATGGTCACCTTTTTTAATTGCACATTAAACTGTTAACTTGAGTTATATTCTTGGAAACGTGATTAGCAAATTATTAGCCGCGAATAATTTTGTCACGGTGCATTACCAAAATAAATTGATTGTTCTTAACGTTTTTGTACAGCAGTTGCCGGCTTATTTATTAAAATTGGTCTTGAATTTATTTATGTTACCTATGAAATCCATTGATGACATAAATGGAGTTAATAGAAGTTTATGTAAACATCGCGTATTAGTTATCGAAAGTAAACTATATCACTGATTATGAACAGGTATAATTTATTTTATACCTGTATAAAATACTTAGTT